GAATTAATCAACCTTCATCTCAATCTAAGTCTGGTGACGGTGCTGAACGGCCCGTCCAATAATAACACATATCATGGAATGATCAAACTCCGCGAGGAGGCAACATACCCTAGTCGCATCATCTCCCTCCCTACGTGATATCCGGATCCGACAACTCTCTGTGCCGCCTAGAGGTTTTCTCTTTTTACTGATAGAGCACGTAACATGAACCCCAAAAATGTCAAAAAAAGCAATTAACTAACGCCATTGACGAGACTCGGAAGACCAGTACTTAGCTAATTAACGACAATGACCAAACCATGTATCTAATGCCCACTGCAGATGATTGCGCACGCAATTAGTTAATATAAGAATCGGCCCATTTCCATGGAGGCCCCTCCGTGACAGCAATCAGCATGCTTTTTTCAACCCCTCCAGTCACGCCTGTTTCAACTATGTATCAGAATCTGTTACCACAAGGCAACACCTTCACTGCAGTTTACAAGTTTACAGGGTGAAGACGGACACTGGGTGTTGAGGGGTAGGGATTCTAAATATGGTAATAAATAGTCAAGCTTCACTTTTTAAAGATTCTCATTCGTTGAGATTCCCCTGTACATGTCCGTCAACACGGTCGAGAGCCCGTTTTAGTGACTCGGCATGAAGAACCTGAACATCGTTTCTCTGGTAACAACCACTTTGACCCCTGCTAGCGCGTCTTTATGTTCAGGTTCCTCTTGCCTGCCCGAGCGAGTACAGTACGCCCCGCTGTCCCAGATTTAGACTACAGTCAAATTTGGGGCAACGACGAAAAACCCCAGCCAAGCAGGTGGTTGCATATCAGCCTGAGCGTCACTGTCATGACTGACAAAGACCCCTCTTTGTCGTTCAACCAGTTTCGTCGTTGCCCCCAAGACGACTGTAGCGCGCTAGGTTTAATGCTTAGATGGCTTCACCCGAACAGAGTATGGTTGGTACACACACCGGCGGTTGCAACGAAGATCCTTTCTTTTCGTTATGTAATCGGCTGATGACCCATCTGATCCCCACCATCCCCGCGCGCTCGCCACACCTTATCTCAACCCCGGAGGAAGAAGGCGGTGAAAGTGCAGGTATGAGAGGTATCGTCGCATTTTTTTTTTTTTTGGTATGGCGGATCTCATTATAGAGGGTGAGCGAGAGTAACATATCCGTAATAGTATTGGGCTAATCCTATCTAAGGAACTACGAGTCCTTTCTCGGTTGCCATCCCTTCGATTTAGTCAGGTTTACTGGCCTTCAGCCAATAGTATTTTGGGGGTGGGGAGTACTCCCGCTCACCCTCTATCCCTTGGACGGATGAAATTGTCAAATTCGCAGCCTGGAGCGTGCACGCACTGAGTTGGGTATATCCGTTGCTCTTAATGGTTGAGAATAACCATAGAGCCAATCAAAAATAAGTGTTAGATACCTGCTTGGGCTAGTATTAGCTCAAAAAGGCAAGCTGCGAATTTGACAGTTTCATCCGTCTAGGGGATAAGGAGATCCGCCATATATGCGGTCTGGGACCGTGTGTGGCTTGCTATTGGCTGCAGTAGCTATGTACATACATGTATGCAGTTGCGGCTCTGATTCGTGTTATTCTGTCATAGACCATCACTCGGGTCGCTACATCACCGAATTGTTCACTCTCGATTTTTTCGTTTTGTTTAATTCGGTTCACTCTCGATTGAGTAGAGGGAGTGGTCCGGCACATGCACATCTTGGGGCTTGTTTTTATTTTTGTCTCGACGAGCCCATTCTCCGCGTTCTTCTAATGGCTGTTACTAGGTGGCCATGGCCGGAGACAACACTAGTACGTACCTCCTTCCTTCTTTCCTCCCACAACGCTGCGTCTCCTCGGGGGAGGTTTCCAAAGCTGCAAACCCAGGAATATATGACGCCTTGATGACCGATCGCTCATTATGGTTAGAAGACTCTCCCACGAGGATTTGAGAATCGGAATAGAGGGGAGGAGTATAAAGGATCTCATTCCCTCGCACAAGTCTCCTCTTCCTCCAAGTATCCCTAACTGCACAATGGTCGCCCCAAAGCCCATCCATCTCCACGAGTTCCCACCTCCAGCGTACACTGGCCAGGGGCCCTCCACCCCTGGCTACTACACTATCTCCGACCCCTTCGCCGACCCTGTGTCCTCCCGCCGCCGCCCGCTCTTCTCTCGCGCGCACTCATCATCCCCACTCCCCGCCGCTGCCCGTTACCCCCCACCCGCCTCCATCCCCTCCCGTATCAGGGCCAAAACTCACATACTCCTTCACACACCCCTCTTCTGGATGGCCCTCATCTGCAACTCCCCCTTCCTCTCACTCATGATTATTGATATCGTCACAACCACCGCCTTCCCCTCCTCTGTGCTCTACCGCGAGCTCCTACGCACCAAATTCGAATGCGCAACAGTCGTCCTCTGCATATTCACCGCTGTTAGCAACTTCTTCTTCATCATCGTCGGCGCTGGCAAGGCCGGAACCAGTAAGAAGCCTTTAGTAACGTCTACCGTCATCTGCACCATCTTCACTTTCTGCTGCCTTTTCGCATGCTGCTGGCACCTGATCTCCACGCGGATGCATAACGCTCACCCCCCGCAGTGGCCCACATGCGGAGCACGGGGCTTCGGCGCTACCATCACGGCAAGCATTGAGGTTGGCCACGGCGCCAGCAACATCACGATTGTGTCTGCGCATAATAAGCACGACGTGCTCGGCCTGCAGCTCACACCGACGGTGCAGGAGAGCCGTGATCTGGACTTCTTTCACGCCAGCGCGGTGCCGTGGTTATCGAGTGAGCGGGTGTGGAGCACTGTTGATGCCGCGGGCGGGGGCATGAGTGTGGATGTGTCGCTCGAAGATCATCTATACGGGGTAACCTATGCGGGGAGTGTCACCAATGGGCGCTTTGTCGATAATCGTAGCTTCTTTCTGGTGTTTCCCGACCTGGGGATTAAGACCTCTTCAACGCAGACATGGAGCTCCAGCTCACCTCTTGCCATTGGCCGTCTCGGAAGTAGTAGTCGCGATCATCAGCGGCCGGTGGTGAACTTGATTGAAGACGGAAATCGGGTGGTGTTGGCGACGGTGCCTAGTGAGGTCGAGAGGGGTCAGGACAAGGATAAAGGTAAGAATACCGAGATGGTGTGGCGGATGTGTGGGATGTGGAGCGTGGCGGAGATGTTGGCGGATAGGGAGGTGATGGAAAAGGTTTTGGTGCCGCTTACGAGGCTAGGGGTTGAGATGGAGTTGTGGGGGACAGAGAATAGGAAATGGTAAAATGGTGATAGGAATATGAGGAGGTGGGGGATTGATTATATGCATATCTACTTTATACTCTACCAGAACTTGTCGATTTACTTACCCCAGCAGAAAACGAAAACTGGAATGGGATCGCGATTGGAATTTGGTAGGGCTCTCTGGAAAAGGTTGTTTGTCATATTTTTCCATTCCATTTCCCTCTTACCTCTCAACATATCAGGCACAAGAGCAGGCCTATGATTGTATCTTTTTTTACTTTTTAATTTCATTTGCCGAAAGGTGTCTTTATATGCCACCACCCAATCAGTCACTACCAATATTTAATTGTAGTTTAGTCCAATAGATCAAAAAAAAAAACACATATAATTCATAAAAACCCATCATCCAACCCTGACGCCGCCCCAACCACAACTTTTACCACACCAGCCTTAATCCCCAAAAGTGACAAAAACTATCATTACCGGTCTTGGCGGTCTTGGCACCACTAAAAAAAGATCAGCTGGCGGTGATTATTGATTGATTGATTACTTTACGAGTCATGCTGGCGGCGATCATTATTATTATTATGATTTGGATTCGGATCGAACCGGAATTGTCAGGTTAATTAAGCTTCTAGAAGGTGTGATATAAAAACGTTAAGCTGTGATTTAGCATCCCCTCAACTCCTCCAAGAAATTCAATCATCTTGGGTATATACATATGTATATCCGTGTCCTGTTATAATTACACATGTATCTGGCCTTTTAATCTGGCCTAACCGCCGAAGAACTGACACCCAGGTATCAAGACCACACCATGCTCTATCCAAGAATTGGTACGTACACATATATATAATCTAGAACCTCAATATCACTCCATCTAGTGGTCTTGTTTTTCGGACTTTTTGGCCGTGCTGAAGCTGGAAGTCTAATATCTAATGGTACAAGCTACTTGCATCTAATGCCTGATAGACTGTCGTATACCTTTAAAGAGAATTCGACCGAGTGCTCATGCATATGTGGAGAGATTAGGGTGAAGAAGCTCTTGGAAAAACAAGTAAGTGGACAGTCGTTCATGGTCAACTGCCTCTTGACGAATCCTAATACTTGAGCAGCAGGGATTCCAGTTATGGCAAGAAACAGTCAAGCAATAGCAAAGCTACGCGATCTCCAGTTCTATTAATTTCTATTCGTCCAAATCGCAAAGACTCCTGTTTGTAATCTGGTAGTACATGTTTGTCAAGCGACGGTAAACGAATGTAAGGTTATTTGTAGGTTTTCTAGAAACTTCCAGAGAATCTCTTTGATGAGACTAGAATGTGCTTATCCCTTACGCTGTTAAAGCTGCCAACTTTGCCAAGTATCATGTCTCAATTCTGCGAAGCTTGCCTGGTGTCACCATGTCTCATGTTGGCAGTATTTAAGTAACAGCTTAAGGGATAGGCCCTTTATACCGGCATGGCGCACTATTCACTATACCTTCTCTGGAGAATACTTGAGAATACTTGGCCTGCGCTGTGCACGTGCGACTCGACCTAATACCCCCTTAACAAAACAAAAAGTAGTTCGATACTTCCTTCAATCCCACATATCCTTTCATAGTATTGCCATAGACTACGGTCTGCATGCAATTAACGAGTTAAACAAAAAAGAAAAAACATATCCTTTCATAGTGAGGCGCCGGGACCATAACCGAAAGGTTGCATGTAATTTATGAGTTAAACAAAAAAAAAAAAATGAGGCGCCGGGTGATGTTTCATGATTCTGGCAGGGATCGAACCTGCGGCCTTCTGCGATTCTATGTAAAGCAGACGCGCTTCCACTACGCTACAGAATCCTGGTTATCTTGGAATTTAGCTCTTTTTCACACACAGATTGGTGGTCGAGTGATAGTTTGTGATTCATAGAATTTTGGTCGATAATTTTCAGGCGCCGAGGAACTACGCACCGATAATCTGTACTCGGCACAAAATCCTCGGTTTCATATTTCGTTATACGTTTGGTTGTAGTGTTGTGTCTATGAAGACATGCCAAGAACTTTTGACAGTCCATGTAAGTACCGTTAATTCTCGAGAAATCCACTATCTAGATCTCCACTTCGCCAAATCTTAATTCCTAGCGAGAAAAAGCAGATAGGTGTATGTATCTGCACGAATTCGTGAAGTTTGATACGCCAATTCGCCTTCTTCGGACTTACCACATACAAATACGGAGATAGTGGATTATTCGAGAATTAACGGTACATCTTACATGCAGCGTTGACAGTCATAACGTGAAAGGATAGATTAACAGGGGCCAACAAATGGGGGTTTGCAACTTGAAGTTATTTGGATACTTATAGATGATTAAATAATTCAGGAATGAATATAAACACAATCCCTCAATATTAGCACATGTAATCATAAATTATCACTCGGTAATCCAAGGCAGACAGTCGAGCCTTTTTTTCTTTTCTTTTTGTGATAGTCGAGCCTTAAGCTTATTCTCATCAATTAAGAACGCCAGCATGGCTCGTAACAAATACTACGGTTAGATAATTATAAAAGGCCCAAATAATATATCAGCAAAACGTATCCAAAATGCATTATGGTCCGTCTGTGCCTGTACGACCTGCTGTTTTTAATACCAGCTCACGCCGTCCTGCTTCCCGCCATAGATCCCTGTAAATAAGAATCGCCACTCTGTACGACATAGATAATCGAACGAGATGTAAGTGTCAGTTGCCTCGCGGCTTTGAGCTGAGTATTCCAGCTGCTTATTTGACTCCCCCCCCCCCCTTTCAGAGATATATATGTAGCTAATTCTCTAAATTGGGTTTATTAACACAAATCTTGCCCTAGGAATGAGCCTAGGCTTATAATTTATAAGGTGACCTTCCGGGGAATGATCTACATTTCTTGGGTTCTAGAGGATTCAGACTAGAGGCGTCACTTTAGGGCGACTATCAACTCAGGGGTTATTTGTTACGGGTGGGTTTCATTGACCTAACAAGCTGTCATGCCCTGTTTTTGAGACCGAGTGAGGTGGCAAATATCTACCCGATCATTGACTCAAATCTTTAGATAGCTCTCTAGTCTAATGCTAACCGTAGGTCTACATCTTATAACAGATCTTCCATAAATGATTGGATATAAATAATTGGATCGGAAACGCGGCCTTCTGAGGCAAAATAAGTTTGATGGCCACAATGCGCAGAGTGATCGAGTGCGGACATAATTAATCCCCCAACAAAAGATAAAATCCCATTGTCCCATCCTGAAAATAGGACTAAGAAATACATGCAACCAGCCACTGGCACCTAAATACAATATTACTCCAACAAACACCTCCTTAGCCTGAAAAGAAAAAATGATTTGTTATACGGACTTTACAACTCCCTCAACACAGCCACCTCAACCAGCCTCTGTGTAGGGAACGGTTTATTGGGTTTACTGGTGTTAGCAGAACTAACAACTTTGTTTCTCTTTGCCCCTCCCCTCGGGAGCGCGCGGTGGGCCGTCGTGTAGGGACCAAATAGAAGTGATCCATGATGATGGAGTATCTGTATGCAGGTGTATATGGTTTCTGTGTAACCAAGGCTCGGATTATGTGGTGGGTGGCAAAAAAGAACTTGCAGAGCCCCGCCCACCTCACGGTCATTCATTCGCTACAGATTACTTGCTGTTTCCCCTCTTCTCCGCTGTGTCCTCCTTCCCGAATTTCCCTCCGGCTGAGTTCCCCATCTATACCTCACGATTGGAATGGGCTCCTTATGAACTTGTCTTCGGTGCTGGGTAAGGTTGTGTTTTCTCGTGAAACCTTTCGTCCGTTTGCATTCGGGATGGGTGCATCGGAACATGGCACCAATCATTGAACCCGCCGGCACCGGATTGTTGTTGACCGGAAGAGCTTCTTCCCCCTTCCGTCCTTCCCCGTTCTCGTTGGGTTCGGGAGGAGGTGTCATGAAGACGGGATTGGATGAAACAAGAGGACTTTCATTGTTGGGAAGCTCCGTATAGCTGGAATGTGAGTTGTTATGTTGTTCAGTAGAGTTGTATTGCGATTGACGAGCCGGAAGTTGAGATGGGCCAGGCTCTGATCCAACCACAAGATCAAATCTACCGTTGCGAGTTGCGTATACGGAAGACCCCGAAGATTCTTGTTGAAAGTTTTGAGCCTCATGCTTGGGCGGGTTGGTAGTCGTGGGCGTAGCAAGCGGATATCCGAAACGAGAGCCGTCGTTGGCTGTCGGCTCCGTCCAGTCCGGCGGTTCAAACCCCCACGAGAGCCAGAATTCAATATCAAAAACTTGAGCCGCATGGTTCGAAAAGTCGATGTATTGGTTCAAGGCGGCGTCGTGCTCCTCTCTGGTAGATGAAGCACTCGGTCCATTTAAGAGCCCATTGACTATATCGGGGTCGGTGAGGTTAAGTGGTTGATCGTATGTTAAAAGGTCTTCCATATTCGAAATGTACGGCTGTAATCAGCCAAGTTCGCCAGTGTGATCTTGGTTTGTGTAGCTTTTGTTTATGTGGTAGGGTTTGAAGCTCTTGAAAGGTAAGTTGATACTGGCTGTCGACTTATTTTGAGGCTAAAACAACTTTGAGATGCTGGGTATTCTTTATGCTGTGCGTTATCCTTGAGAGTCGGGGTTTTAAGGGGGTCGACTTGAAGAGAGGAAGTGGCTGGCCATTTATACTATTTTACCAGTGTATCATTGACGTTGCCATTTTTTGGTGTTGTTGCCTTCCCTACGTCTTTGGAGATGTGCGTTTGCGCACCCACTAGTAACTACAATCCATTTCCCAATTGCCCTGCACCACTTTTGAAAACAATCATAGCTTACCGACTCTCAGTGGGATGAATGGGTGAGTGGAATAATCGGAGTAGGTAACATGGTGCACATGGCAGATATTGTAAATTCTACAATTTGGCCAGTAAAAAGATAGAGGCCCATTTAGCTTACGTTGACTGTCGACTTCTTGCCCCACAATACCAGTTTCGGATATATCATGAAGGCCAATACTCAAATAATCTCCTTCGATATGGCGGGGGATAGTTATAATCACTCGAAAAATAACTAATAGCGCGCTTCAACTCTATTATAAGGAGCAAGGTTATATTTCCATTTGCATTGTAACGAGATCTTTATCTTCATAGTTCTGAAATGCGACCCGGTTTTCAATACTTGTTTAACGCATGTGCGGTGCCGCCGCTTTGGAACCTTGAATACATGCATTTGATTGGTCATAAAAGAATGGTAAAGGGCAAAATTCCCGGGTCCGAGACATCATGCACGTACGTTCCCAGCTGTCACTCCTATGCGATCAACCTTCGATCCGGTGCCGACATGTCTGTATGGCCGAGATACGTAGCCCCGGAGCTTCGGTCCTAAGTAACTTATTGTATGGTGTAGTCTGAGGTAGCTGCAAGATCTTCACTTCCCTAGATCTTGACCTGCTCTACCTGCCCTGCTCTTGGGAAGCAGAATGATTCCCTGCAGTGCCCACACACAGTGATAGATCACCCCAAGCAAGTTATTCTTCGTTTGTTACCGATACTCAAATGCTACATGGCCAGAGTTCTAAATCCAATTACAATGGCAGGGGATACGGGAGGCCTGGGAAAGGCACATCAGCGAAAAGGCACGATAGCGAGAATGAGCCACACAAGTGAGATCAACGACACAGGTATAAAGGAAAAAGAATGTACTCTAGCTCTACGTCAACTACCTAGTTTAGTTTCTCAGCTGCAGTGGCAACTAAAACGTCACTATAGTACAATAAGATATATGCATGATGAGTCATCGAATACTTAGGCCACGCAGCCGGCGAGGTAGCTTTTGGCTCTAGAGGCACATGTTACGGTCCAAGAAATAGGGGTGGGGCGAGCACAAACTTCTCCTTCCTGAAGAAATCAATTAAACCAATCAGCCTGGAGAACTGCTACCCCAACGATATTAGTATCCAGCTCAGTAGTATTTTCCAAAGCTCCCACAACCCCCCACGCCATACATATTTAGAAGAAAGTACTAATCATATAACAAGTGTTTTTTGGAGTGGCCAAAACCAAGTGTTCGAGTTGAATAGTAACATCGGAAACTAGCTTGTCTCTAGATTCATTACTCATTACGCTCTCGTTCAAAAAATAACCGGGCGAGTCGAATGATACATGTAGACAAGGCTTATTCCTTTCAAGAAAGTGATATCAAGTATTTATCCGAGAATGAGAGGGCAGAGACATGTAGGGAATGAAGATGCTACTCAGGAACAGTCAGGTGGAGAAATTTCAAATCGGTGATTGGAAGAAGGGGCAGACCTACAGAGCATGTCCTCCAAAAAGACACATGTAGTTGTTGTTTTCCAATAATGAGCATTTTGCCTCATGGCCTGGGAGCTATCAATTATGTAGGCAAAGTTTGAAAAAGGGTTCTCTGTGTACATGCGTACATTGCACAGCCACTTGTACCAGCAGGTATACTCCCAAAGTAGATACGTGTGCTTGATTTCTGGCCTCATACGAAATACACATGTAGCGTTTTTGAACTAAAACCTCCACACGAATTTTGGAGGCGAAAAGGCTCGGTAATAACCACAACCAAATTTGTATGGTAATGACCCGGTCCCCAGTCTGACATGGTACTAGGTTAAAAACGTTATAACCGTTTGTATAGAATGGTGTCATTTTCCATACGTGCATTTCTTAAATGCACTTTGATACTAAAGGGTTAGCATATACAGCTACTCACAAAAGGTACTTGTGTAGGTAACTACATACATAATTGAATCCCAATAGTAGTTGCGGAAGGCTGTAGTAGTTAAAAACATAACGGAAAATCTGTAATCGAGTACGTAGATG